ATGTACGTGATGGAAACAACAATAAAGTTGACTTGAACTTGAACCTGTGTTCCAAGTTAAATTGTTTTAAGCTTACTAATAGTTTGTTTGTTATACTATTTTTGGCCATGTTCAAAATAAATTATAATTACAGTGTAACTTAAAATAATATATAAATAAAGTGCTATGTGTTGTCATCATTGTATGTTCCCATACAACGGTGAAATTAGTTCTCTGCATTTAACCCATCACACCTGGGATACACCCAGGTGGAGCAGTGGGCAGCTATGTAAGCGCCCGGGGAGCAATTGGGGATTGGGTGTCTTGCTCAGAGGCGCCACGACATGTGGGAATTGCTGGGAGTCGAACCTGGGACTGCCCTGCCTCTACCCCATCTCAGCTCCCAAAGCCTCTAACTTATAAATCAGCAGATTTTCAATCAAACATAAGCTTTTGAGTTTACTCCCAGTGTTTTCAAAGAAAAAAAAAAAGTTTGATCTTTCTGCAGCTTTTACGACTTTTTTGTTCTTTTTGTTTTACACATGTAATTCATTCTTATATTAGTTTAAAATTAGTATGTTGAGTTGACTAAAGGTGTCTTCAAAAAAAAAGAGAAAAAAGTTCATCTTAAATGTTTTCTAAAATAGGTACTTGTATGAGGTTCTCAAGTGCATCACTTGACTGCTCCTACAACCTTGAACAAAAGGTTAAAAAGCACTTCAGCACACAACACGGCGTCAGGTGGTTTATTTTTGTGATTAAATTAGTTTGCAATATTTTTGCTCAAACTACGATGCTCCTTTGTTGGGGTTAATTTACAACAAAAAAAGAACACAACAAATTTAGTCAGCTCAGTTAGGTCCCCATAACTTTTAATTTGTATTACAATAAATACCCATTGATGTTTATTTATATAAATCAAGTTTCTGCAGCATAATGAAGTCAGAACTCCTGTGGTGCTTTTTAATATATATTACAGTAATGCTTTGTTTTGTTGATATAGAGACTTAAACACAGTCACACAGTGACATCTGGTGACTTTTTGTTGTTGTTGCAGCTTTTTCAGTGTAGAGACGAAATTAACACCAGATCTAAATATTCAGGGTTTAATTTGCTTGTTGAAAAATGGTCTTGATTTTTTTTTTTTAAACTATTTTTGTTCAGAGAATCTGGAGTGCATTAATGAAATCACATTAATATGGAAGAATGTGAATTTATTTTGTCTATGTATTTTAAGAAGCTTGGAATATGAATATTGTTTTTCTTTTTTAATCTAAAAGGCCCTAATGATTTTGTATGTTTTTTCCTCACTTGACATGACGTTGTTTTTTCCCTACAGAGTGACTCCTGTAAACCTCTCCATCCCCTGAGCTTCAAAGATGGAGGCCCATGTTCACTGTTCATCCTGCTTTAACCTGAGATGCATGGTTAGACCTGAACCTGGACTTTCTTGTGATCTCATTTCATGTCCGCTGGTTTGCGGGGCTGTATTTCACTCCTGCAAAAGTGATGAGCACCAGCTTCTGTGCCCCATGGTGAGGATTCCGTGCCTTAACAGTGACTATGGCTGCCCAGCCACCATGATCCGCAACCAGATATCTGCACATCTGGATGTGTGCCCGGCTGGAGTTGTCTGCTGTACAATGGAGTGGAACAGATGGCCAGTTAGCTGCTTGGACTATACTTCTTACGAGAGTTTAAGTCGTGTGGTAGAGGAGGTGGAGCAACTGGATATGGCTCTTGCCCTCCAGGACCAGCGTACACTCCTTGAGTCCCTTAAAGTGATTGCCATGACACCTTCTGTTCAAGAACGACTTGTCCCTGTTAGTAAAGAGAACAGAACTAAACACTTGGCTTTACAACCCCCTGCTTCTGAGTTCTCGGCTTCTAGTGGGCCACACTCTGAATCACCGTCCTCTCATCAGTCACAACCAAACATGAGAGACCTGGCAAAAGAGAAAATCGTAAGGGGAATCAATGGCTTGCATGAGGAACACTTCAGTAAACTGTATGAGGCCACAGCTGAAACGGCAAGAAGCTTGGTTGCCGCTTTAGACTTTTTTAGCAGTGCCAGCTGTGGTGAAAGCAGTTCAGAATGTTTGAATATCGGAGCTGCTTTTGTAAAAACTGATTTGAGCATCAATGAAGGCCTTGCAACTGAAGTTGCTGATTGTTTGCACCAAAGAGACATTAGCTGTTTGAATGGAGATTGGGCTCTTGAAGGAGCAGATGAAACGACTAAAAACACATCCAATGGACCAGCGTTAGGAGCCTCGGAGGCCTTTCTGGGAACGGATGACATCCAAGACGGCTATGCAGATGGTTCTAAGGAACAATTGGTGTCCCCACTTCCTGTCAGCTCTGGTGTGGCACAGTTAGCAGATCATGTGGTCCTTGAAGATGGAGAGCTAGTTCGTTCAGAAAATCATGAGCATGAAAGAAGGTTCCATAATCAGTTTTTTACTGTTGAGGGCCGTCATTCATCATCTAATAACACAGGGATGATGTCTGACCAGCCACCATATAAACTGCCAGCCAAAATGGAGGACAAAGCATTGGATACTTCAGACCTGGAGCAGGATGATGACCCCATGGGACTAGGAGAGATCGACCTGATCACGGCAGCCCTACTCTTCTGTCTAGAGGAGTCCCGAGAGTGTAGAAGGATCTCCGATACGGTTTTTGTTGACGGTTGTCGTGTTAATTTTGGAACACAGACCTTCACTTTTCCTGCAGCAATTTTAGTCACCAACACAAGAGTGGGAGAAATGGCCTCTGCTTCTGCCTGTGACCACGCTGCACCACAGCTCACTTACCCCAGCCCATTCCGTACGCTCCGCCTTGGCCTGGTCCTTGAAGCTCTGAAGGCCGAGGCGGTCTCGTATAACTGTTACCTCCCTTCTAACCCACACTACCAACATACATTCCCCTTCATCTGTGGCCAGTTATTTCGCCGGGACCAGTTTTCTTCTCATTTTAGGAATGTCCATGGGGACATTCACGCTGGCCTCAATGGCTGGATGGAGCAGCGCTGCCCCCTTGCGTATTACGGTTGTACATTTTCCCAACGAAGGTTTTACCCAACAGCCCAGGGAGCCAAGGTAGTTCATGACCGGCACCTAAAGTCGTTCGGGGTTCAGCCTTGCCCACAGCTGGAGCTTTCAAATGAGTCCCAGTCTGATCAGTTTAGTAGACTTCCCATAGAGATACTGTGGCACATAGCTGCATTCCTGGACAGTTTTAGCTTGTGCCAGCTGTCTCTGGTATCACGAACTATGAGGGAGGTGTGTGCCAGTCTCCTCCAGACGAGGGGCATCGTAGAGCTGCAGTGGGAGCAAAGAATGTGTCCTGGCAGCTCTGGCACTGTGTCGTGGCAGATCAAAAATAAGGTATGTTCAAAATTAGTCTCATGTTTTTGAAGTTAGTCAAGTGGATGCAGTACTCAGACACAATATCAAATTCACGTAGGTAGGCCTGCCACGATAAACAATAAATCAATTAATCGCATGATAAATGAAAATTATCAACCTTACTTTCATTTATTGGCTTTATAGTTTCTTCATATCTCTCTCTTTCTACTGAAGACGCTGGATGACAAAAGGCTCCGGTGCTCTTCACTGACCCCTCCCTTTCTCTTTAAAATCCATTTTAACCGTCCAAAATCACGTTTTTGGATCGTTAAAAGCAGCTAAGCTGAGAAGCTAAGCTACAAGCTAAGTTCGCAGGCCGTCCTCAGGAAAAAAAACTTCGTCTTGTCAAAGCTCCAAAATTCACAGTTGAAACCGGTGCCTTCATCTAAAAAGTTGTTTTTCTCTGCAAAAAGAAGCTGAGAACTTGTTTCCTGATTTTTTTTTTATTTATTAAAAGCTTTGTGTGAAAAATGCTATGCTAAAGAGCTTCAAACCACACCGAGCATCCGCTATTTTGAGAACCGAAAAACAAGAACGAGAGACATAAAGAGACACGCTGCTCGCTCCCTCACTATCCATCCTTCGTTTCAAACGGTCTTATACTGCCATCCGGTGGTCAAAAAAATGTACTACGCACAAAAATTAACCAACTTTTCTTCTTAAATTTGACAATAATTACTAATTATTGTCAAATTTCAAACAATATTATCGTTTATCACAATAATTTCTGAGACAATCGCCCAGCAGAATTTGTTATTGTGACAGGCCTACACGTAGGTGTAAAATAAGCAGTATAACTTCACACTGTGTGGACTCAAATCTGACTAAAAGTTATCACGTGATCATTTCGGTGTGTTTTTCTGTCCATTACAGATGTGGAGATTCAGCACTGCCTTCAGCCCTGTGTCCTCGTGGGGTTTTACTGATGTCCCCAACATGTCGGTTCATCTTAAAAAGTGCCACTTCAACGTAGCGGAGCACAAGACGGAGCCGATTCCACTCCCAGCCATGTGCACGGCGCGAGACGGACTCTCGCTTCGTCGTGTCCTGCGTCACGTCCACACCTGACCACAAATCGAGCTGCGTGAGAGTCACTGTGGTGTTATGTGAATGTTAAGAAGTTTTGTTGTGGAATAAATCAACACTTCCTGTATTGTTTTAGCTGAGGAAGAAGCCTTAATGAAATAACACTTGTCAGGTCTGTTGTGAATGTTTTTTTTATATTTGGAGGGAAAAAATATACATTAGTCAGCATTAACTTTGCATGAATTTGTGCTAAAAATGCATCTTTATTCTGGTAAGAAAAAAAATATTTTGACACGTGACCATTAGATTTTTATTCTTGATGTGTTAAAGATGGAATTAAATACTATTCTGCCTTTGACAAGTAGCCATGAAAACTACAGTGTTGGTTAAACAGCATTATTTCCGTTTGAAACTATAACAGCACTTTACTTAAATGTTTCTAATCCCTTTCAGGATGATCGGTGAAGCTGATCAGAAGGGCTTCTGATCTCTACCAGGGATTCAGCTTTGTTTGAGTTTGTTTGTTAAAATGAGTTGTAACCGTTGACTGTTCAGTAATGAATACTGTATCTGATTTGCTGCGATTTAATAAAGTCCCTACTGCCTTTTTTTGTATGTTTCATTTGTTTCCCAGGTCAGCATGTTTTACTTAAATATAGATGTTTGGCTAAAATAGAATTAATCTAACCTAAATTATTTATAAACATTTCAGTCCCAATTAACAAAATGTATATCACGGGTGAAAACAACTCTTGATTCCATAACAAATTGATGACCTCTATAATGGGAAGGTAATTAGAGAATTTAAAGAGGTCACCAGATTTAAGTCGGTGTGCTTTTGCAACTATATAAATGGCAATGTTCTACCAAGAAACAAAATATCATAAAACAGATTTCTCCAAAGATTTTCTTTCTTAAAAACTGTTTAAGAGTTCAGTTTTTTTTCTGTAACTCATGCTAAGTGAAGCGTATTGGTTTTGAGAAGTGAAAAACCATCCAGATGGCCTGACTGAACTTAGTTGTTTTTTTTTTACCTGGATTATTGAGCATGAACTTTGATGTTTTGAATCATTTTGGCTATGGCTGCCTCGGGAGAGTCAATGGGGGAGAGGGTGGGCACCAGAAACCATCTAATCACCAGCAAACTGGTTGGTCCACTATGTGGTTGTGCTGCTTGTGGGACTGAGTTTGTTGTGGCTCCTCGGACTGATGAAGTCTTGTGGATGAAGGATGAAGCGTCTCAACAAAAAAATAAACCATCCAAATGACCTAACTGAACTTTGTTGGATGTTTTTACATGGATTATTGAGCATGAACATTTAGAGAAGTGGTTTTCAGGACTTTACAAGCCTCGGTGTTGTGGGCCAGAAGCTGAAAACACAACCCCCCCCCCCCCCCACACACACACACACACACACACACACACATGTAGATCATTACAAAAGCTGCTAAATCCTTATAAACAGCCAAAAGGGATAGTTCACGTCATGACTGAATGGATAATGTCACCTGTTGTGTGTAGCTGTTTGAACGACCTCAAACTGGAGAAATTGTTGAATTCTGAGCAAAACCGCAACAAAAATATTTGAACTACTGGGTAATTTACTTTGGACAAAAATGGCTGGTTTTAAACAAACTAAAATGCTGCTGCTGTTTTCATACCTCAGGTCCAACATAAGGACAAGCTCCAAACTGCAACACCCATCTAAGGCAGGTAGCAAGTCAAATGAACCCTACCCATCATCCAAAACAGGTGCTGATGCGTTTGCTTGTTTTCCCCATCTGTTCTAAATAGTTACACTGTTTTCTATTTCAGCAGGGTTTAGATATGTGTAGGGTACTTTAAGTTGAGAATTTCTTGCTTTAATTTCTTCAGTCAGGTAGGATAATTCAGCTTGAAAGTCCTTTATCATCAGCTTGGTGGCAGGCTCATAAAAACGCTCTTCAGGGTATTCACCCAAACGAACCTGCCGGAGACTTTCGGTTAGGCTCATGGAGTCATTTTACACATTTTTAAGCTGTTTTTAGTCATAGTCGCCCTAATGGGACGTGTTCTCAAACATTAAACTTACATTGTCAGAGTACTTGTTTGAGAGAGTCCAACTCAGTGCTGCAAACTTGACCGTGTCGCCAACATTTGGGAGAACCTCAAGAACGGTGTTCATGCTCGACTGGCCTTTCATGGTTGGAGGAGGTTTGCACAGCAGAGGAGAACCATTAGGGATCCAGGAGTTATAGTCAAACTAGAAGAGAAGATATTTTATTTATTTATTTCTTTATTACTAGAATTACATGTTATTGGGACAGAAATCTCATTAAGGGTTCCAAAACTACACAGGAAAATCCTTTTCTTATTTGAACTAAGAAAGCTCCTCGAATGAGAAGCAAAGCAAGTTATAGAATTTCTGATTTTTTTCTCTCTAAACAATCAAATTATGACATCATTGTACAAAACTGGCACTTTTGGCCCACCTGTCCATTATTAACAGCCGCATGTTGTACCGTCACCGTGAAGATCACCATGGTGAGGAACTTGACCACCTCATTCACAGTATTAAAGCATGTTGGAAAACCTTTACAGAGCAACATCAAGTCAAACCAAATTAAACAACAATCACTGACATTATTTTAGTTGCAGCAAATCCAAACAGTAATACTGAATACGGATGTGGACAAACTTGTTGGTGCACTTGTTTAAATAAAGCTTAATTACTCGTGAAAAGTGGTTCAGTTAAAAGCAGATGTGTAACAGATCTCTGTACGCCTGTAGTATTTGATAGAGTAAACAAAGAATTGCAAAAAGAAATGAAATTATACTAAAATAGTAAACAGGTCTCTCTTGTAAATGAGTTCCGGAGGCTCAGTGAGACTAACCTGTATAAATAAAGGTTGAATGAAAAAGTCTGGGCAAAGTTTTTGGTAGCCCTAAAGGGACTAATTTTATATACTCTAGTTTGTTACTAATTAGTTAATCTTCTTAATACACCAACGTTAGTCACGGAGTTCCTCAGGGTTCAGTGCTTGGACCAATACTCTTTGCTTTTAATATGCTTCCATTAGGTAAAGTTATTAAACAGCATGGGATACATTTTCATTGTTATGCTGATGATGCTAAGTTATACAGTATTTATCCATGAAACCCGATTAATCCAAATCAGTTAGCGTTTTTTTTAAAGACATAAAAACCTGGATGACCCACTTTTGTGGAACCAACGTCCAGTTTCTGTCCGTGAGGCTGACAATGTCTACTTTTAAGACTAGGCTTAAGTCTTTCCTTTTTGATCAGTTCTATAGTTAGGGTCGGCTTGGGTTTCCTGAGCTATCCCTCAGTAGCTGCTGTAGGCTTAGACTACTGGAGAACAAGCTGACCACATACAGACTGAAGTGGAAATTATGTGTGTATGTATGTAGAAGCCTCAACGTTTCAGGTTAAATGTTCTTTGGACTGATGAGGAAAAACTGAAACTGTTGGGCCAGTCACATCAGTTGTGTTTTTAGTCATTATTATTAAGAAAGGCTACCAACAAACTTATCGTGCATCTGCATAAACACATTTTTTACCGGAGAGTTTGTTTTCTAAGAAGCCGTGTGTGAATATCTCATGGATCCATTCCTGCAGCTCAGTGTCTCTGCTCACATCACTGTCTGAGGGATAGAAATACTGCACCATGCCCCTCACAAAACTGATAAAAAAACAGAAAAGGATTTCAGATTTGCATTTTGAAATCACTGCTTGACAAAATAATGAACATTTCTGACTCTTTGATGCAGTTCCACAGCTTCAAAGCATCGTCTCTGTAGTAGAAGTTGGGGATGGACTCGAGTCCTCGTGCAGTGATGTTCTCAGGCAGACAGAGAGAGCTGTAGGTCAGTTCGGACAGGGCCCTCTTCATCAGCTCCTTCAGCCCCACCACTCCAAGGGAACTCTAGAAACCAATAATCCCAACACTTTTATTTCTGCTATTTTTCTATGAAAAGATGGAACTTATGACCACAATTCCACAATCTGAGTGAAAATCAGAGATAAACGATACAATACCTCACTCAAAACGCCATCAGGTCCAAGAAGAGACGTTCGAACCAATATATTGATGTGCAGAGTGTAACGGAAATGAGGGATCAGCAGCTGCACAGAGAAGAAGACCGATACCAAAGCATCAAATCCAAGGCAAAGCCACATTAAAAAGAAATGTGGCTGACTTGTTGACACTCCACCGCTTGCTTTATTGCGTACCTTGTAAAGAGGATGGACTGCAGGGAAACAGCGGAGAGTAGCAACTGCAAAGACTTCTGCCAGATAGTGAGTGTTCATGAGGTGATGGACCGTCTGATGTTCCAAAACATCTGCACTTTTAAAGAACAGCTTGGCCAGAAGCCAGTCTGTCGGCAGGTCACTGGGCAGAAAGATGGGGTTCTGCTCAGAGGGTTGCTGCTGAAGCTGAAACAAAAGTGTCACTGTCAAGGAATTTTAAAAGAACGTTTGTCATGTTGGTGAGCTGTTCCCTAGCAACAAGACAAGTTTTGCATCCAGTTGTACTTTTCTTCACTACTTCACCACGTTGTGTTACCAACATATTTGAAATGAGTGTAATCCATGCATAAACCTTTTAGTTATAAAATACCTGTATTGCAAGAGGCATGAGTTTTTTCTCGGAGTTCATGTAGAACAAGCACAAACCAGCACTTGTATGAAGAGAACTTCCATCCTTCTCTCTGGTTGGTATTCCATCCATTATCTTCTGGTCAACCAGGAATATATGACCTTTCTGTGTGGGACAGAAATGTGAAGACTTGCAGGAAAATGTTGCAAACATCATGGAAATACTTCAGAAAAGTCATGCAGTCTAACAAACAGCATCACATTGCCAAAAAAAAACCATGGCCAACCTCCAGCTCTGCCTTCAAAGTGCTTCCAGCTTCCAGAAAAGGCGCCACCATCTCCTCGGTGACGGGGAAGTTAGGAGGAAGTTTGGAGCAGCGCCTGATCACGTTGGGGTTTGTTGCGTTCAGGAACTGGAAACCAAAAAAGTCATCTTCCTTCCAGTGCTCGGAAACATACTCTGGGAAGAAAACAGGTGAAAATGCATCATTCAGTTTTCCCAAAATAATGTTCATTATACTGGGGCGGCTGTGGATGAGTGGTTAGAGCAGTCGTCCTCCAATGCAAGAGTTGGGGGTTCGAATCCACCAGCAGTCACATACCAAAGTGTCCCTTGGCAAGACACTGACTGAACCCCTCACTGCCTCCAATGTGTGTCCCATCGGTGTATGAATGTGATAAAGCTCTGATTAGTCTTTGTATACAGTAGAGTGCTGTATGAATGTGTAAATGAGGCACAAATTGTAGTGTAAATCACTTTGAGTATCTTGATAAGATGGAAAGGTGCTATATAAGCAGTGGTGGAAAGTAACAAAGTGCATTTACTTGAGTAGTGTACTTAAGTACTTTTTAATAATCTTTACTTGAGTTTTTGTGTTTTTGGGAACTTGTGACTTTCGACTTCATTGGGAAGCTTCTTGTTACTTCTTCCTTTTGGCTCAGCTTTGTAATCCATTTTCTTTCTTTAAATGCAGCTGGCCAGTTGTTGATTCAGGTATTATGCTGGATTCATCTGTGCAGAACACTCATTGTTTTGTAAGCTTCTATGTTAATTATGGCAGTACTTTGAGTTATCCATGTTACTGTTTCCTCTCCTGTGTTAAGTTGTTGCTGTCAATATATGCACTTTTACACACAAAATGTGGTGTATAAATACTGAAGCTGAGGAAAAGGCTAAATGTGCATCATCTGTAAAATGCAGAAAGTAGTTTACAGGTTTTATGGTGTCAGAGTGGTTCTACATGTCAGTACATCATCAGGTGGTTTCAGAGTATTACAAGGTTCTGTAAAATCACTCAAAACAATACAGCAATGTACTGATATTAGAAAATACAATTTTTACTTTTAAATACTTGAGTCTTTTTTAAATGCATGTACTTTTGAATACTTAAGTATTTTCAAAAGTAAGTACTTCAGTATTTGACTGAGCAACTTCTACTTGTAGTTGATTTCACCATGACTATCAATACTTTTACTTAAGTACTAGAATTGAGTACTTTGTCCACCACTGTATATAAGTAAAGTCCATTTACCGTTTGTACTGTAAGCTGTTAGACATTTAGTTTTTTCTGAATTAGGCCTGTTTTATTTCATTTTATTTTTCCTTTTTATGCCTAATTTTACATATTTGTGACCAGTTCAACTCAAACCCTTGTTTCATTTCTAAACCTTTACACGACCGTCAGTTTGGCGTTACACACAGAAATATTCTGACGGTTCTATGAGAATTGTTTTTTACCGGGTAATTTCGGAAAAGCAAATTCTAATAAACTTATTGGGAGAATCAGTTTCACGTGAAAGCAAACTAGACGGTGCTTTCTACCGGACATTGTCGTCTTTTTGAACCAGAAAATCTTCTTCATGTACTCCATGTCTTTCCACTGTTTGCTGGATCCTGAGAGCCCTTTGAGTCCTAGCTCAGCATCACTAAGGCAAGAAGGAACACAGAAACGTAAAACAGTTTGTACTCACAAACCTAAATAAAGTGTGACAGCAAATTAGAACCACTGACTCACATCATTCTGTTTGTGGAGGACATATGTTCTGATTTGGACACGGAGAAGCGTATTTCTCCAGGAAGCTCAGATATATTTTTGAAGTGACTGTTGTGTAGCAGCCTATCTTCAGTGATCTCCCATCTAACAGCAAGAAAGAAAAAAAAAGTCTAATGGTAAATGATTTGTTCAGATAAGCTTCTAAGGTGACCTTTAATGGAAACTTACTGGTACAAGCTCTTCCTAAGATTTAACTCGTCTCTCCGGTGCTCAATCAACAGATGATGCTCATCCTCAAAAACCTTTGTGGCTTAGAGGCAAAAACAAAAGAAAATCAGCGTTTTAAAGTAGATAAAACTCATTGAGTATATAAATTATAAACAGCTCTCATCCATAATGTGTCAGTTTGTGTGTTTTTAGCAGACCTTTCCCTCCTCTGAGCTCCACATGTTCTCCCCTGGTGATCCACCTGTAACATGGGAAATCAACGTCCTCTCCCTCCGGGGTCGTCGCCACCATTTTGGAGCAGAACCACTGGTCCTCTCTCAGGCCGAGACGAGGGTCTTTCTGCACTTTGAGGAGGAGAAGTTTCCCCAGGGACGAGCTTGTTTTGATGGTAAATGTTCTTGTCTGAAAATCACGGTCAGTAAGAAAATAAAGTCTTTAGTTAGATGTGAAATAACTCATCGCCAGCAACCTGTCATTTTAGACTATTGAGAAATGAGTTGTAACCATTTTGGTCAAACCTTGAAAAAACATTATGTGTAGTGCACATGACTCTCAGCTACTACCACATCAAATTATATCTTAATTTGTAAACCTTACTGAGTTATAGCCATTTATGTGTTAGCTTATATTGGTTAGCTGTGAAGGCCATCTTCGGTTGGATTAACTCCAAAAGTTAAAAATTTAGACGTGTCAATCCAATGGTTATATACTGAAAGTTTCATTAAAATCTGACTTGTGGTTTGTGAAATATTTTGCTAACAGACCAACAGGACTGACTCCAACAGTTTCAACTAAAGTGTTAAGACAAGATCTTGCACAATCAGTAGCACGTGGAGACTGTGTTGGGAATTATTTTAAGCTACTACTGCAACACATTTTAGGACAGTAGCTGTAAAAATTTACTGAACTGCAGTCACTTTTGTGTTTTCTAAATTCAGTTAGTTGTGGTGGCCATGTTGAATTTCCTTGACTCCAAAAGATAAGCAGTTGTAAAGTTATGCCTAATGAATATTTACTGAACATTTCATTAAACTCTGAGGAATTGTTTATGAGATATTTTGCTAACAGACAGAGTGGACTCTAAATGTTGTTAGCTATTTAAACTAAAACCTTAGACATGTTAGCACTCAAATGTGTTGGGTATCAATCTCAGATCACCACATCAACTTTTAGCTCAGCCTCTGTAAAACTGACGAAGTTGTAGCCATTTTTTTATTTTTTAAGTCCAGTCATGTGTGGCGGCCATCTTGAATCTGGTTGACTCCAAATCTTAAGTAGAGAAATTGTATTTCCTGCGAAAATGCATGTGAATGCTTATTGCTGAAGAACTTGCTGAAACACAGTTGAAATAAGCTAAAAACAAACAAACAAACAAACAAACAAAAAAAACCACCATGATGAGCTGAAATAAAAGAACACGTCTAAATAAATTAGTAGAAGGAAGCAGAGAGGCGCATATTAGCTGAAATAGGTTTAAATGAGCAGAAATTAGCAACAAAAATTTAGGAAATCTGCAAAAAGAAAAAAGCTAAAATTAGAAGGGAAAAAAAACATCAGTCAAAGAGGCAGAAAGGACCTTAACCTACAAAAAGGAAGTGGAAAGCGCTGAAATTAGCTAAATAGCATGTGGAATTAGCTGAAAAAGCCAAAATTTGCATAAAAACAGCCATGAAATAGCAAAAAAAGCTGAAAAATGCTGAAAGGAGCATAACTAGCTGAAATTAGCATGTAGAAATTACCACAAAAAACTTTATTTATTTGAAATTAGCTAAAAAAAAATTATAAGAAGTGAGTTGAAAATGTAGAGCAAACATAAATTAGCATAAGAAGCAAAAAGTACATGTTTGCCCGTTGGGCTGAAATAAACAGAAATAAGCAACAACAAAAAAACGAAATTATCTGAAAAAAGCTGAAATTAGCAAAATAACAGCTGAAAAGTAGCTATAAAGGCTGAAAGAAGCTTAAATTACAAGAAGAAAGCGGAGAGCACATTTTTGCTGAATTAGACTGAAAAAGGTTTAAATGAGTGCAAAAATGTGGAATTAGCTGAAAAACCTTAAATTAGCATAAAACAGCTATAGTAGCAGAAATAGTAGAAAAAGCTGAAATGCAGAAATAAGCTAAAAGGAGCATAACAAGCTGAAATTAGCAGAAAGAAGTTAGAAGCAACACAAAAATGTTGTAGTTAGCAGAACAAATCTGAAACAGCTGTAAAAAACAGCTGAAGCTTAAATTAGCTGAAAAAAAAAAAGTTTAAATTTGCACAAAGAAGCTGAAAGAGCTGAACCAGAACAAAACATGAAAGGAGCAGTAAAAGGTTGTGAACAGATCTAAAGATGTAAAATTAGTTCAATTCATTTTCTATGAGGAAAAAAATGGCAGAAAAGGCTAAATATTTCAAAAAGCTAAAGTTGCACCAACACCAAAAGTCATAGCAGGACTGTCCTGAAAGAGCTGAACGTTTTGATATGATTTGTTGAAATAGCACAAAAGTTGTGGATCAAGAAAGATGAAAGAAAAACATATGGAAGAAAAATGGATCTCAATAGTGAGAATGCTTCATAAACATTCACACTATTACTTATAGAGGCTCACTATTTTATGCAACTTTCATTAAAAACTGCCCAGTGGTGTGTGAGATATTTTACTAACAGATGAGCACACGCAGGCAAAAGCAGTTCCAACCTGCTTTGCCTTTCAGTGGTGGGCATGATGGCGCTCACGGTCCCATAATGCATGTAAACAGATAAACGTGCGTCTGATAGAGGGAGATGAAGCAGAGCGGCTCCACATTGTGCTCAAACCTGATCGGCCTGTTTGGAAGTTACCAGCGAGGCCTGACAGACTGCAACTCGCCTTCCCTGTTTTGAAGTCGATTCCAAAGTTGTCCAGGTTGGTGCGTTCACTCTGGCCCTCTGCTCCAATCAGGATGACGTAGACGTGGTCTATGGTCCCTGCGTGCTTCATGTCACCGGTTGTCACCTTGAGGGTGTATTCAGCCATCGTCACTCTGGGGGAAACTACAGGAAAAAATACATTTAAACGTGAAAAGGTTAAACAATTGAACTAAATGTGCTGGAAGACAGTTCCTCTTCTTGTCATACTAAGAAACAGAACAAAGAAAAGCTGCAATATAAACTTCTACGTCAAGTTTTTCATGACTTACCTCCCTTGTCTAGCAGCAGCTGTTTCACCTCCTGTCTCAGGCTGGAGATCAAAATGTGATGATTGGACCTTTGCCCTGAATGCAACCTGAAAGAATGAAGGAGGCGGGTTCTGCTGTGTTTAGGCTCCCTGCTCGTCACATCACTTCCCTTTAAGGCGACATTTCTCTAACAGGTGTGGGAAAAAAATGTACCAGCTCCTGGATTTTAATTAAGTCTTTAAAATGAGATGTTTGTTAATTTTGGCAACTGGTCATCTGACCTGACAACAAACTAGTCTAGTTTGAGAGTGCCAGTTTTAAAACTCTTTTTTTTTTATTAGTCTGGAACAGTTGTTCTCAGTCCTGGTTCTTGAGAACCACAGTCCTGCATATTTTAGGTGTTTTGCATCAATTGAAAGCAGGTGTGTCAAACATGCAGGATAGTGGACCTCCAGGTACGGGACTGAGGACCAGCGGTGTAGAATGATGTCACTGGGAATTCCAGGGGAATCCTCACGCTTCGCGATGACGCCAAACGAAGGGTTTCCCGACGCTAAGACAGCCAGCAGAGAAAAATTATTAACTTTAAAACAAATTTTATAAGGTTATGAAATGAACGATTATTTCTAAAGACACACCTGTTAGAAAAATTTGATTTAAAGGTAGAGTAGGAACTGCTATTTAAGTTACTGGGATCACTAGGAAGTGTCTTTATGGGCCTATTTTTATGCAAATTTCAGTTACAGCTAAAATATTTCCATTCATTTTGCACTGCAGCATGCGCTCATTCCAACTCATTTTACCAGCACAGGTCTCGTATTAAAACTATTTGTCATTGCAAAATCAGTGTCCACTATTTCAATATCACAAAAAAATAAAATAAAATGCAATAAACTTCTGAGATGATCTGCATGTCAATACTACCCAGCAAGTAGTACTGTGCAAAAGACTTAGACTTCTTGAGCATGTGATCAGCTGGTTTTGGTTGTCAGCAGCAAACTGGTTGATTCACTCTGAGAAGGTGCTATTTAAGAGACTGAGCTGAATACAGCACCTCAGACTGAGGAAGTCTTTCGGATGAGAGACGAAACGTTTCTACATTTTTTTGCTTTGGGTTTTTTTTTTTTTTTTTTTGAATGTCCAGAGGACCAGATTGAACTTTTTTGGACTTAGACAACAGTTTTTTCTTTGTATTTTGCTGCAGGGAACATAACAGGCAACTTAACAAAAATAATGTTACATTACATCTTTAGACACTTTTGAACTGTTTGACCGTTGCAAAGACAAAGTGATGTTTTGTCACAACAGGTGGATTCAAGACTGCATTTTTACTTCTCAGCATAAAGTAAAGTGTGTTTTAAAAAAAAAATATAGATTTAAAAAAAATCTTTTGAGGTACTTTTATCCTTTGGTTTTTCATTATTTTAGTTTTTCAGTTTTTTAAAAATACACAGCACACCAAATGCATGCTAAGCTTAGACAAAATACCAACAAGACCACAAAAGTCTGGCAAAATGAATGAGTAACGATTCATCTCCAAGAAACAGTGAAGTCGACCCAAACAGAAGCTCAGACAACAAATCTGCAGCAGCTGGAGAGAAACTAAAATCTGACAAGAAAATTATTGGGAAAAGTGAACAGATCAGCTCAACGTGAAGCTGGAGACAAGAAAAAAAAGATCAATCTGAGGTGGAGGAAGGAAAAACTGACCAGTCAGCATTAACAGGCAACATGGCACAACATATTTGAAGTACAAAAACTTTGATGTATTTACAATCATATGACATTCTTCCTGTTTACCACTTTTTATTTTTAAAAATATATCTTTTGTTTTACATATCTATTAACCACGTACTTTGTACATACATGCTTATAGTACATTTAAGAAACACAAGCAGATCTTTTCTGCCTCCAACATTCCTTTTATTCTGACAAGTCTCTCAATGCCCACAGCATGATGCTGCCATCACCGTGTTTGACGGAAGGCTGCCAAAATGACATCCGTGGGAGCGTGCACGGGAAGGCTTTTACAAGAATTTAACAAGATTAACACTTAAAAATAATTGTTTGTTTGCTCGAAATTATAGCAAAAGTGTGCCTCAGTTTAACTTTTTCTTAATAAATACACTTTAATGGTCAAATCAGCTGCATTTTGCCTGGGCGGTGCAGCGAAATGCAGCTGATTTGATATTTGTTCCAGGAGTTGGGGCGAGACAAAGTATGGCAAGCCAAGTGTCTCATTAATAGACACTTTTACCTACTGAGAAACTTGGCTTGCCATAAAGCTCAAGGGCCCTCTAGTGGCTGCAAATGGTAATGTTGAATATTGTTCATGTCAGAATAAATTAAAATCGTCAGATCTCAGCCAAAAATTGGGTTATAAATATAGGGGGGGAAAAAACGTATATTAGTCGTTTCGGTGTACAAATCACAGGACTTGTATATTTATGCAAAAAGGTGAGACTTATACACCGGAAATTACGGTAGTTGTTTTATTTGATAATGTTGTTTTATGCTGGTGAAGATTCTCAGTCGTCCAGGACATAAATTCAAAAAAACTTTCGATACAAAAACAACTGGACTTTATTTGTAACAGAAGATGTTTCGCTCCTCATCCGAGGAGCTTTCTCAATTCAAAGAGCAGAGAGTGTGTTGTTCAGGTTATAAGGCTGAGATAAGATACACGTACATATGCAGATTGACAAATCACACCTCACACCTTGACAAAAGGGTTTTCTTAAAGTCTTTGTTAATCTAATTTGTTTTTGTTTTTTTAAACGTTTTTTTGAACGTGGTCTTAGTTCATTGGTGCTTTGTTAAGCTGTGGTATGATGACCTCTCATGACAAAGTTTGAAGTATTTTGATTTCCACTAAGATGATGACCTCTGGGTACCCCGATATTCTGACAGAGTGAGACCTCTTCTTGCTACCAAATCTCTGCACCCTCCAAAACAACTCGATTATTTCCAGTCAGCGACGCGCTGTTGCCTTTAAATCCGCGATAATGTTATTTAGATTCGGAGTCGTTCTCACTCCGGAGTCCTCGGATGTAGAGGTTTTAGTTTTGGGTTCCCGTGAGGAAATGGGCCACTGGGACCCGAACAGAGCGATTCGGATGAAAGCTACGCACAAGCTGCCGTCACCCGACGAGCCGTGTCTGTGGCTCGGCGAAGTGGAGCTGGCGGAGCCGTTGAAAGACACGCTGTGGTTCAAGTTTATCCAAAGAATCGGAGGCTCCTTTAAATGGGAAGGTAAACCATGTGAAAGAACCGGATCTCCTACTAGTTTAAATTAAATAAATGACATTCCTATAAAAATATATAAACCTCAGAGGGCAAATAAAAATAAACCATCCCGCCATGTTGGATTCGTTTGGTGTAATACAATCTACTGCCACATGATGGCGGTAGAGCTACATATTTTAAATGTTTTGTGATTGTATGTTTTTGTGTGGTATAAATACATCACATATGTATGTATTTATTTTAATCAAAGTAACTTTTTCTGTCTTTAAATAAGAAATGTGAGAAATAGCTTCGCACTGACAAAGAGGCACCTCCAGAGAGTTTTTGAAGATGTGTCCAGATAGGGGCTGCAAAACAAATCTTGGGATGACGGCCAAAAAATGAAAAGTCCACAACACAATTTCAGGGGTTTTAGCATGCAGTTGTCATGTTCAAGTTATTACAAACATACATATTTATATATATATTTTTTAAAAACAATTGAGACCCTGCATTCTCATACGAGGACATGAACTTTTTCACCCACAAATATTTTCTCTTGATCAACCTAAATCTTTTTTGTCTTGCGTTCAAGGAGACTAGCTTTTAGGATTTATTTCAAAATTTCATATAATGTTTTGAACATGTAGCTGCTTATTGTTCAGAAACAATGTTTGGTATGTTTGATGTTCTTCTAATCTCAAATAACTATGGGAAATTAAACATCCACATAAATAAGAAGGAAGGTCGCAGGAAGATAAGATTGTCTATTGAAAATTTATCTCCTTCTTGACTCCTTTTAATGCCCCGCTGTTCATTTATTCCCATTTATTTTTAACAATAGTTGAGTATAATTAATTAATAAGGTTTGGTATTGCATATAAAGTTGAAATACTAAGCCAAAATAAGTGTACTTAGGCGGCATAGGTTGTTGTCTTCTATTTAAGGATCTCAATAAATCCACACAAAAAAAAGCAACTTTCTGGTTAAACTGCACACTTCATTGGATTTTAGTGACTAATAAAGTTGTCCTATTTGTCACCAGGTAGCGGTCCGAGCCACGACAGGAGCTGTTCGTATGATGAGGGGAACGTGGTGGATGGAGTGTACTGCCACCCGATTGGTCACTGGATAGAGGAAGCGGGACACACCGACGAGATGCGACACACCACCAACTTCTACTTCAAGGTGGCGGGTCAGAAGGCCATGCACTTCTCAAGGTGACCATATATGAAACAAGAAGTCAGAGTATGTGATGGTGTTTGGTCTGATGTGTCTAAACTGTTTTACAACAGCTTTCAAACTTTATTTATTGTTATAAATGCTTTAACTGTTAGCTGCAGACTTTATTTTCTAAAGACCGTTGGAAGCAAAATTCCACTTATTAACGTTCAATAAACATGTTTTATGAAGGGGAAAAGAGCATATCCAGTTAGTTGGACAATTTCATTTGGGTTCCAGATTTCCAGAGTTAACACACTTTATCATTTCTGCCAAATAATCCCCCCCCCCGAAGGTAATGAGCTTCTTTGCGACTGATCCTTTTCATGCTAGAATGCGTTAATGGTTTGAAAATTACTTTATTGCTTGTTGCTTGAATTTTAGTTTACAGTGTGAGGAAAAGACGGGAAACGTGGGAAAAGACTGCAGAGTTTTTGTTTTCCGGGTGACCGTATCTCAAACAGCTGTGAGGCTCCGACTCTTCTTATGGCTTCACCCCACTTTTAAAACAGAAGCAGTCATACTTAATAAGGTTTGTGCTTAAATCTTTTCTGTGCTGTTGTCACCGTTTTTAGGATGGGACCCAGGAATGCAAAAATAAAAAAATAAAATACTTGAAGAATTCCAAAGTAAAACTTGATTTTACTCTAAAAAGCAAACAAGGCAGCGTAGCTTAAAAACAAACTGGAGAGCGGCACATGGAGGACTGAAGCGACAGGGAGGCACAAATTATTTTTAACATCTTTACAATAATTATATAATTATTATTAATTTTATACAAGCATCATGTTAAACAGCAAAATGTTATAGAAGGAAAACATAATGGATCTAATTAATGATTTAAAGTAGACCCCACGTCAGTCAGTAATTAATGACTGACATCCAATGATTTCAAGACATTTAGCTGGTTGAATATTTATGACTTCAACTAGTTGATGAATTTCAAGCTAACTTTTTTTAATGTGTAAATTATGTTCACGTACGTTCTGTTAGCTGCAGCTCATTGCAGTGATCAATATCTAATCTACGCCTGAGCTTCAAAAGAACATTTTCAGAATTCATGTAAAGAAAACAGATAACGAATCGTTACCAGAGGCAACAGCAGCTTGTTTTGTTTAATAAATTGGGACGCAGGACCGCGGCGCTGACCACCAAGCTGCCGCAGCCCCCTCAGTATTTATTTGAGTGAAGCCTTTATTTTGGTCCCGTGCGCCCTACATCATCTCACCCACGTGTGTCCCGTCACAGCCGGGCGCAGACTCGTGGTCCTGGTACGGCAGAGACGAGCCACCGGTCCCTGAAGCAGTGTAACTTGCATAATGAGCGAGCGAGCTTGGCTGGCACCATCAGGTTTTAATTTGTGTCCCGAAGACCTTACAAGGTTTATGTCAGGGTCCATGTTTGCTAGGAAGCCTGGTGCTTTTGTTACTTGCCTGTTCGTATGGTTCTAAATGAGCCTTTCATCAGGGTTGCCCCAGTTATAATACTCTCTCTGCAGCAAGTCTTTGCCATCTTAAGAGACGTTCTCCCATCCTTACAGGTAACTCACCAGTCATGCTCATATGTAAAAATGCACACAGTTTGGGCACAGAATTCCTCATTACTCAAGTACTTTTTAAAATAGGGAAATAAAATCACACGTGTAGACCCCTGCGCCACTCTGTAACATCACGTCTGTACAGCCTTCGTCCTGTCTCTTACGTGTCACTTCCTCTGGATGTTCACCTTGTGCATGCTAACGAGCAAAGAATGGAGTCTGGCTCAAACCATAGTGAACATGAAGAGACCATGAGATGGAGGGAGGGAGAAGGTGAGACAAAGAACGAACAAGCCGAACACGGTGACTTGTTAAAGGCAGCTCCTGTTTTTAAGATACAACCGTGTTCAGTGAGGTCATTTGGACAGTTGCTCTTTTTTGCTGAGACGTTTCGTCCTTCATCCAAAGCAATGCGCATGAACTTTGGTGTTTTGAACCACTTTGACATGACTGTCTCAGAGGAGTTGACGGGGGAGAGGGCGGACACTGGAGGCCATCTTAGCTTAGTATGCTGTTAGTGGCAATCAGTTTGGTTTGGTGACTTATCGGATTGAGGAAGTCCCTTGGATGAAGGACGAAACGTCTCGGCAACAAAAGAAACCGTCCAGACGACCTGACTGAACTTTGTTGGATTTATATTTATTATTGATTTATTATTGCACATGAACTTTGGTGTTTTTAAGATGGCTCAACAGATTCAACAGGTAGTTGAAATTCCTTGGTCTGTTAATCATCACATTTCTTTTTTCTTTATCTTCATTTTCAAACGTTTTTACACCTTATTTAAAAATTATTCTCACAGACCCTTAACTGTGTAATAGCCATATAAAACATGATAATATTCACTTATGCATGGGGTACCTTACATCCCTCATTGTGTGAGGGATTTTTAAAAAAATTTTTAGATAATGTCCCACATTTTGACTGACTCTTTCTCGTTTAATTTAATTTGTTATTTTCAAAGGTCTGAACAGCAGGAACGGTCACCTCTTAACATCAGGTCCCTGTTTATGTCGCCACTCAGCTACACCAATGGGGATAAAAAATAATAATAATAATAAAACGGAGTAACCAGAAAATCACGTCTTCAGTTGTGCAGATTTGAATGAAAAATTACTGAAAACACCAGAAAGAAGAAGAAATGCAGCTTGGACCAATAAATTCCTGCTGAAAATGAAAATTGACAACCAGACAGATAAACTGCGAGCAAAACCAACATTTATCACACCCTGAGGAACACCGTGGGGTAATAAACGTATCGATGTTTACTACAGGGTGCTGCCGCGCGTCTGGCTGGGGAGCTGCCCTCGACAGGTGGAGCACGTGACGGTGAAGATGGTGCACGAACTGGGCGTCACTGCGGTGCTGAACTTCCAGACGGAGTGGGACGTGGTGAACAACTCCAGCGGATGCAGGCGCAACTCTGAGGAGGCCATGACCCCGGAGACCATGATGCATTTGTACAAAGACTGCGGTATTGTGTATGTGTGGATCCCCACGCCCGACATGAGCACAGAGGGTGAGCGCTTCACTTGCAGTGGAACTTAAGACCAACCCATTTTCTGCAACCTCACGAAAGCTACAAAAACCCAAATAAAGACAGTCTATTGATTGTGTTTAATTGAATTTACTTTATTGAATAAATCCAATTATATAACTATTTAATTTTGTCAGAATTAACTACTTAAAACAGCAAAAGCAGGCTGTAATGAGGGGATCATTGAATGTTTCTTGTTTTCCTCTGAAGGTCGGATCAGGATGCTGCCTCAGGCTGTATTCTTGCTCCACGGCCTCCTGGAAAACGGTCACACCGTCTACGTTCACTGTAACGCCGGAGTGGGCCGGTCCACGGCAGCTGTGTGCGGCCTGCTCATGTACGTCCTCGGCTGGAGCCTGAGGAAGGTGCAGTACTTCGTGGCAGCGAGAAGGCCGGCGGTCTACATAGACGAGGAAGCTTTAGTACGAGCTCAGGAGGACTTCGTTCAGAAGTTTGGCCGGTTGAGATCGTCCATTTATTACGCAGAAACGTGACTGAGCTTGAAGCTGAAGTGGAACTCACAGCTACAAAGAACTAGAAAAATTGCATTTCCTGCGAAAATGCAGCGTGAATACTTATTGCTGAAGAATTAGCAGAAAAACAGCTGAAATTAGCTAACATGGTAAATGGACTGTACTTATATAGCACCTTTCCATCTTATCAAGACACTCAAAACACTTTACACTACAATCTGTCTTCATTCACTCATTCATACAGCACTCTACTGTATACAAAGAATAATCAGAGCTTTATCACATTCAAACACCGATGGGACACACATCAGAGGCAATGAGGAGTTCAGTGTCTTGCCCAGGGACACTTCGGCATGTGACTAGTGGTGGAGTCGAACCCTCAACTCTTACATTGGAGGACGACTGCTCTAACCACTCAGCCACAGCCGCCCTCATGCCACATGCATAAAAACATGCTGAAATGGAAGAACAAGCCTAAATGAGCAGAAAGCAAAAAAAGAACACACATTTGGTGAATTAGGTTTAAATAAGCAGAAATTAGCACAAAACTAGGAAATTAGCTAAAAAAAAGCTGAAATTTGTGAAAACAGCTCAAAAGTAGTTGTAAACGCAGAAAAAACCTTCAACAACCAGAAAAAAGCTGAAATGAGCTATAAAAAATGTGAAATTATCTCAGTCAGCTAAAATGAACATAAAACAGCCAAATAGTAGCTGAAATAACAGAAACTGCTTAAACTAGCAGAAAAAAAGCTGAAATGAGCATAACAAGCTGAAATTGGCAGAAATAAGTTAATTAGGCTGAAAGTAGCATAAATTACTACAAAAACTTTATCTGAAAACAGCTGAAATTAGCTTAAAAAATGCTAAAAATCTAGCTGAAAATGTAGAACAAGCCTAAATTAGCAGAAGAAAGCAGAAAGAACACGTTTGCTCATTTAGGCTGAAAGAAGCAGAAATGAGCACAAAAAAGTGGAAATTTGCTGAAAAAGCTGAAATGAGCAAAAAACAGTTGAAAAGTAGCTAAAAAAAGTAGAAAGAAGCTTAAATTATCTAAAGCAAGTGGATACATTTTTGCTGAATTAAGCTGAAAAAGTTGAAATGAGTGCAAAAAATTTTGAATTTGCTGAAAAAGCCAAAATTAGCACAAAACAGGTAAATAGTAGCTGAAATAGCAGAAAAAGCTGAAAGGAGCATAACAAGCTGAAATGAGCAAAAATAAGTTAGAAGAATCACACAAATGTTGTAGTTAGCAGAAATAATCTGAAAGGAGCACAAAACAGCTGAAATTAACTGAAAGTAGCTGAAAAAAAATGTTTAAATTTGCACACGGAAGCTGAAAGAAGCTGAACAGAACAAAATGTGAAATGAGCTGTAAAAGGTTGTAAACAGATCTAAAGATTTGAAGGATGGAAGATGAGCTCAATTGATTTCCTATGAGGGCAGAAAAAAGTGGCAGAAAAGGCTAAATATTTCAAAAAGCTAAAGTTGCACCAATACCAAAAGTCACAGCACCCTTCTCCTGAATGAGCTGAACGTTTTGATATATGATTTGTTGAAATAGCACAAAAATTCACAATAGTGTGAATGCTTCATAAACATTCACACAACTAGAAAGGTGCCAGAAGGTGAAACTAACATTTACCAAAGATCTGAACTGTTCTGCTAAGATCTGATGTATGCAAAGGACCCACTTCAGCAGAGTGGCTTTCAGAATGTGCTCGATTCCAGAGTATCTGCAGAGAGTTCTGCTGGCTGCCAGAACGGATGCTGCGAGTGATTAATCTTACTGTGATGCGTTCGCTTTCAACTCTTAACATTTACCCCACAGGGCTGCAAATTATGGATACTGTTAGTGATTTTCAGTGTATGCCCAGGGGGGGGTGTTTGGAGAGACCTTTACTTTAGGCCTTTTTGGTTGGAGTCAATAAACTGTGTTGACATTTTGAAACTTTTAGCTGTTGTGTTAAACTGCAATGAGTGAAAGGAACGTGTAGAAAAACAAATGGGCGTTGAGAGAATGAGATTTCAGGTGCAAAAGAAACGAGACAGATATTTAGGAAGAACCACACTCTCCTCCAAAGTGTTGTACTCCTCACAGTTACTTTTCCGTGATTATGATTTATTTTAGATAATCTCATTTTTAATGCCAGAATAGGGAAAAAAAAAATTTCTTGTTTTGCAGACTAAGATTTTAATACCATGTGACAACAGCCCTCTTCGCCAAGGATACAGATCTATTTTTAAATCCAATAAATCAACAAGAGACTCCTCCTCTCTGTCAGAGGTATTTGGCTCCAAGACATCAAGGAATGCAGCTGTCTCTCACAGAGTCTAATTTCATTTAATCTTTTATTTATCCGGCATATGCCGTCTCCAAAAATAACAAAAAACAGCATGATTTCCAGACATATCTTAATGTATGCAGAAGCCATTAAGACATAAATGTCCATCTATTTCAGCCTTTGACTTGAATGTTAGTGAGATAAACTGTTTTTTTTTTATGTCTGATTTAAAACAAACAAAAAAACATTTGGTGAGTAAACTGTCTCCTGAAGCTAAAGTCATATTTCTTCATTACTTTTCAGTGACTTCCTGTACTGAATCTCATTGGGGATGAGTGGGTGGATAGAGCTGTGCAGGCATAGATGAATCATCTTACTATGATCCAAAAAGAAAATATATGTAAAGAAATTAAAAATGCTCTTAAAGGGAGAGTTCTAATCTTTTGAAGTGGGGTTATGCACAAAAGTTATAAGAAATAAAATCTTATCTGTTGTAGATAACTCTTAACCTCAATTTGTTGAATTAAAGTTTGATTTTGTCTGACTGATGAGCTAATGGGCATGATCTCAAAAATATTATCAAGGTTCATGCAATCCAGTTTTATAAACTACAGTAGTCCCTCGTTTATCACGGGGTTTAGGGGTCTCGCCCCCCTGTGATAGGTGAAAAACCACAAAGTAGGTATAGTAGTACAAAGTACTTACTATTACAGAGTAGTAGTAAGTAAGTTGAACTGTCATTTCTAATCCGGGCCCGCAACGAATTTGGGCCAGGCCGTAATAATGTGGTGGATGGGCGGGCCGGGTCGGTGTCGGGCTTTTGATTGCATCAGCGGACGCGCGCGGCCGACGATCCAATTATATGGCAACGTGGCTTGTCATACAATCACTAGCCGCATGCGGCCATTTGACCATGAGCTGACCGGCTTTGAAAGAGGTCAAATAAAATTAAGCTTCAGATGGGATTACTGGTACTGCCAGGAAGCGATCCATCGCCCAAATGGACGTTCAGCTGCTGCACTCGTGTGGCCGAGGACCCAAACAGGTGACATCCCAAAGCAGACATGTCAGAGCAGGGTCCCTGTCTGAATAATGCAGAATGCAGGCACAAGCAGGGATTTAATGCACTTTGATGGCCATGAACGGACAAACACCGCCTAAGCTCCAATCTTCTGCCACTTTTATTCAGCCGCGTGCGTCCGCCGACCGTTAATAAATATATATAAGCAGTCAAAGCCTAATTAATAATGGCCGGGGGGGTTGGACCTGTAATTACTTTTAATTTGGAAATGATGGCTATGGGCTGGGGCCGGGTCGAGTCATTTTGGCCCAAATGCAACTCTAGTAATAAGTAGTAGTTTATTTTAGTAAAATAAAATTATATATATATATATACATATATATATATATAGGCTTTATTATCACTTCCCACACTTTTGCAATATTCTAAACAATGTTTCTAAACTCTAGACGCTCTAAAAGAGCACAGAATGTCATAATCTCCACACTCTGCCACGCTGCAATCACACTCATCATCAGTTTCACTCCCAATCTCTCTCCTCCTGTGTAAATAAACAATTTATCTTTAAATGCAGTAATATTTTAAATAGACAGTTGTTTAAAATATTACAGTATTTTAAATTGTAGAGAAGAGAAGCACAGCTGCAGCACAGAGCAGAAATGTACTTCTTGATCAATTACACTGTAACAACTGAACATAGAAGTTCTAAAATAATTAAAAAATAACTTTTAACACTTATATTTTGTGATTATTATGATTTTACGATATGACATACTTTGAATTTAAAGTTGGAAGACAAAAGTCGATCGGTGCATGTGGACATCGAAGGGTTAATCCTTCATGAAGCTGATGCAGCATGAAGCAGAAATGTGGAGATGATGACACAGCAGGAGGGAGCTTCTCCCTGCACCTGTGGGCTGCACACAGGTGCTAAATCATTTTAAATTATTTATTTTAAATAAATAATCTGTGCCGCTCGAGCAGCTCATCCATCAATAAGCCAATTGTGTCATGTCCACTCTTACTTTGAAAAACCGCGAAGTAGCGAGGGACTACTGTACTTTGTACTTCATTACACTTGATCTTAAATTTCACAATTGTTTACATTGAATACTATAATTATTTACAAATGGCAACAGAAACTACTCGTAGTGATACTTTCAGTGCAGCCTGAGGAACATGAACATGAATGCTAAACTGACAGCAGTGTAAAGGGTTTTTACAAATACCTTTTACATAAACTACAAAAAAATATATTTGCACATTTCATAAATTGGTCACACCATTCTACTTTGACAACCTTAAACTGGTCAGTCCAGTCAAAATTAAATGAAGTCCCTATATCTACAACAGGTAAGATATTAATTTGTCTTAATATCTTCTCAGAACCCCACTTTAACAGACATGAACTATTTATTACTTTTATTTCTTTCAGAATATGTCATTCAACAGAATAAGTACATTGTGTAAATTAGCTTTTAGATTAGATAGATAGATAGTGTTATATAACATAGTATCGATTGTCCATTATTTCCAAATGATCTTCAGATCATCCTCTTCCTCGCAATCAAAGAAGCAGTTGTTATTTTTATGGAAATGGGTTAAATCAATTTCCTGAATATTTAAGGGCTTCTTAACCTTCCAGGTTTATATACGTCACCCATTGTCTCTAAATCTAATTCTATAAACAGTTAATCAAAATCTGGTTTTAGTTCAATTCAAAAGAAAGATCTTTAATTAAATTATGTGAACATTATGAGTAATTTATAGAGACAGCACAAATCAAAGGACTGTTTTGAGCTGCTGTCTGTCTGGGACATTCT